CCTGGAATTCATAAAGTTTTGTAAACTAACATTTTGAAATAGATAATGCATTTTCAATATAGCAATATAGTTTAGATATAGGTTTTTGCCATCTAGTCTGCAATGACATCATTTTCTTATCAGATTCTCATTGGAAAATGGTGACTAAATACGCACTCATTAGAAATAAAGTTTCCATTAAATTCCTTTATCATAGATAATACTCTCAAATCAGTAAACATTAATTTTTTTTATATTAATTTCAAAATTTACTTTGCCAGATTATTGCGCTAATATTCAACACAGGAAGCTTCTATAAAACGAGTTTGAATTTAAGAGTTAAACTTTTGATAAAACTGTTTAAGAAGACTGGTAAATTAATTTCATTTATGTTAAACCTTGAAAGTATTTTATTTGTCAATTTGCCAAATTTCAAGTTTTTTGAGTTCATCAGGAAATTAAAAATAAGATCGTGTACTATTTGTGTTGATCAATAGTATATTTAGAATTCTATCTGGTGACATATATTTATATATATATATATATATATATATATATATATATAATATAACTTTTATTTATTTTTATTTAATAAGGCAATTATGAGTGTATTTATAATTTCCCTTATATCAATTATTATAATTGAAACTCGAATCAACACTCCTCACTACATGGAAAATATTTTATCACAATTAAAATTGTTTTCACAAATGTAACATATGTTTATATAACCATTATAAAATAAAATTCGACGAAACAATTCCTAATTTTATGATATTGATTATAGCATAAACATTATTATTATTAGTTCACGACTGAACAATGCATAATGATATTATTTAAATTCAGTTATTTCAATAATTTCATTTGGGTTGGTCGAAAGAATTGTTAGAATTATTCAGTAATTAAGATGTTTTATATAAAATCTTTCGGCTTGTTTTGCAAATTTATTATTATTGTAATTTTTGCTACTTGGAATTGTGATAGCACAGGGATCAGAAAATCTCCAGGATTGGTAAGATAATGGACATATAAAATTTTGTGTTGGTTTTTCCAAATGTTTTGGGTCACAATTTCACTATTCTTCAGTAAATAAAATTATTTAAAATTATTTATAAATATAAAAAAAAAACAGACCTATTACTAATACTATACTAGTTCCAAATCAGACTACATGAATCAAAAATCTTTGTCTTTATTGATTTTATTGATTGGCTTTTCAGGAAACAAGAATAATCAAATATATATTTTTATTCAGTATCCATTAATATCATTAATATTATTTATTAATTTCAGTTAAATATTACTATTTTATACGAGTCACTATGTCCAGACAGTGTGGACTTTTTTATGGAACAGTTGCAACCAGCTTGGTCGAGTTGGCGCCCTATACGAATTTTACATATGTTCCATTTGGAAAAGCATATGTGAGTAATAATACATATTTAAAAAGCATTAATTGAGTCATATTTTACAAAATATAATATCATATAAACATTAATATATTTATACACGTAGTGTCCACGTGTTCAAAAATCTTTAAAGTCTGAACCATAAGTTTCCAAACTATTATGGATCGAGGTCCCCTTGGGCTTTGTCATGGACCTTCTATTTATCTGATACCAATTATTTATAATTTCTAACTGTACTCAAGTTTATTATTAAACATTTAAAGTAAAAA